AGAAGGGATTGTGGTGTGGCCATTGCCCCTGTGGAGGGTGATTTCTCGCTTTCTATCTCTCTGTCTCTCTTTGTCTTTCTGGCGAGCTCATGCGCCCTATACCAAAAACAAAACAAACAAACAAACAAACAAAAACCTCTCCAAAAAAGAAAAAAGAAAGAAAGAAAATGGGAATAAAAAGGATTATGATGAGATTGGGTCCTGCTGAGGGATTCTCCCTTTGGCGCTTGGAGATGAATGGAAGTGGTGTTGATATCTGAGAGTCATAATCACTAGGTGCCGAGGTCCCCCTGGGGAAGGAGCTGCCCTGGGACTCATCTTGCCTGGCTGCTCTCAGGGAACCTCCTGGGCCTTCCAAAGTCTGAGTTTTTCCCGTGTCTGTGTGTGCCAGTGGCTCCTTTCCTAAGTGGCAGGAAAATAGAGCAGATCCTCACTATTTAGAGAGTCCACATTTGCAAATTTGCCTCTGTCCTGAAATGTTTTTGTAACCGCCCCCATCAATATTCATAGGCTTATTCTTTTTTTTTTTTTTTTTTCGAGAGAGATTTTTGCTATAGGACATGTACACTTGCTGGAGCAATAGAGACGGAGAGGCAGAAAGTGAGAAATCACCCTGGGGGGGGGATGGCCACACCGCAATCCCTTCTCCTCCATTCTCCTCCCAGGATTTTGGGCATGTATGCATATATGCACCATGTGTGAGTTTCAAGACACCGGGTCTGGGACTCGAATCATGGTTGACCATGGGAGTCCAGCACCATCAACCACTACACCACATGCTGGCTCCATTCACAGGCTTTTGTGGTCACCAGTAGATACGCACAGAGTGGCCAAACGTTTGAGTGTCCTCAAGTGCCTGTTTCCAGCTGAAATCCAGTTAGGGACACCTGGCTTCTCGTTTCACCTCTCATTCAGTAACAGGGGTCTTTTCGTGACCTCATCAGTGCACGCTGTTCATTGTTGTGCATCTTGTTAGTGATTTCCTGCCCCAGGCACAGTGCCCAAGTGCTGCAGTGTGTCTTAAGGATAAGACCTGCCGTGTCTTCCACAGGAAAAGTGCGCGTTAAATCAGCTTTGTTCAGGCATGCACTACAGAGCTATTGGCTATGCATTCAATGCTAATGAAACAACACTATTTAATGAATAAGATGTCTCTATTGCCGGCAAGTCGGTAGCATGGGGGTAAAGGCAGTTGGATCCCACATGGCCAACTCTGCGGTTCGAGTCTCAAATCGGGCAATGTGAGTCATGCTGGGTGCATGAGCACGTGTGCCCAAAATCCTGAGAGGAGAATGGAGGAGAAAGGATTGTGGTGGGGCCAACCCCTCTAGGAGATGATTTCTCATTCTCTCTCTCCAGTGAATGCATGTACGCTATAGCAAAACTAAAATACTAACTAAAGAAAGAAAGAAAATAAAGAACCAAAGAAAAGAATAAAAGATCTCATTGTATGTTAATGGGCTGATGAATGGGATGAAAAGCCTGCAGGAACCTAACCCCGTATGTCCGCTGGGAGCAGTGTTTCATTATTCGCTAATTCATGGTCCACAGACACCCTATAGAATATAAGGACTGAGAATCATGAACTTCGATCTCTTATGTCTGAGAACGGGCATCAGGTCCTCCCCCTCCCTTCCAGGCCCCAGCAAGAAAAGCAAATCCCCTCTGGATGGGCTAGGTGGGGCTTGACATATCAGCTGGGACCCCACAGGGCCCCCCTCAGAGCAGGGCAGAGGCTCCCACTTCTACAGTGCCTGAGAGCCTGCACCTCCATCTGGAGAGAGCTGACATCCTGCGAGGCAGCCTGAGGAAGGAGGAAGGGCTGATGGGCCTTGTAGGGCACAGGCCCTAGGCCCGGGGCTGGGTCATGGCTCCTCAGAGTGGCTGTACTCTGGACAGGCAGGCTCGACCAGGGAGGCAGAGATCATGTTTATGCTCTGCCCATCAAAGGAGAGACATGGGGGCCAGCAGGTGGCGTGGTTAAGGCACTGGACTCCCACATGGCCAACCATGATTCAAGTCCTGGATCTGGTGGCTTGCTTTCTCACTTTCTCTCTCTCTGTCTCCTTCTGGTGAGTGCATGTGCCCTGAAACAAATTTTTTCAAATATCAAAATAAACTATTTTTGATAAGGAGAGACACTGAGACTCACAGGGCCTGGACATCCGATTGGTGAGGGCCACACGTGGGGTCCTCTCCAAGCTCCTGCTTTACAGTTGAGGGACCTGAGGCCCCAAAGACATGAAGTGCTCAGGCTTCCATCTTGGCCACTCCAAAAAAGAGGATGAAGAGGTCTTATGCATGCGATTTCTCCAGGACCAGTGGCTCGATCCTAATTACAGGGAAGCATACATCATCTGAAAATGAGGATCAATTTCCTTAATCTGGAAATGCACCAGGAGCTGGCTCAGTGTTGCAAAACAGACAGCCATTAGTCATCAGTGAGGTCCTGCAGCTAATTCTTTTGTGTCATTTTCACACCATGCTGAGCCTTCCTGTGGACTGTCATGCCATGAATTATGGACTCGAATAACACAGGTGACAGTGCCAGACTGGTGTGTAAGAGGCCTCTGATGAATGGCCATGTTTATGTTCTCCTGAGGGAGCCCCAGCTAGAAAATGCAAATCTTGGGCAATTAATATCAAATATGCACAGTTTCAACCCATTGCCTGTGATTAGACATGCAGCCAGAAATGGCCTCATTTTGAAACAAACGAGGTTTTTGCTGGAACCCTGATGAATGAATTCGCCAGTTCGCTCTCTAGGCCGGCTCGATTGTGGACAAAATTCATCTGTTCTCGAGCCAAATCATTCATCACGTATTTGTAGCATGAGACGTTGTTGTAAAGGCTGGGGGTCTGGCGGGAAAGTTCTCCCTGTTTAGAGAACCAGGCTAGTACACTGCGTTAGATCTCGGTATTCTGCCTCTGCCACTTCCTGGGGACCTTGCCCATGACCCCATCTCAGCATCAGTTTCTACACTTGTCAGAGCACATACATCCCAGCCCTTCTCATGTCACAGAAGTATCGTCAGCAACCGGGAAGAGACAGACCGTGATATTGCTTATAAGCATTGAGGTCTAGGGTGTGGGTTTGAATTGCAGCTCTGCCACTTCCTAGCTGTGTGGCGTTGGGACAGTTCCTCACCCTCTCTGGAGCCCCATCTCCTCCATTTTATTATGAGACCCTCTTGTGAGGATCATTGTGCAGTGCGTATTAGTCACTGCTTGTGGCAGGACGACCACACGTTCGCTTTGATCGCAGTCCCTATGGCCCACGAAGTCTGGGGTCCAGTACGAGGCTGTCATCGAGGTGTCAGCCCAAGCAGGGTCTCATCTCAAGTCTCAATGGGAGAAGGACCCCCTTTCAAGGTCACACGGATGTTGGCCAAATTAAATTCCTTGAGGCTATAGGACCAGGGGCCTCAGTTCTGGCTACTTGTTGGCCCTCGGCTGGCTACAGGCTCTTGCAGACTGAGTACAGGATTTTCATCTATTTCTGACTCCATATATGAAAATGTCTTTCAGTAGCTCCTGGGTGGCCTCAGACAAATTACTCAACGTCTCTGAGCCTCCGTTTCCATATCGATAAGGTGCAGACAGTGAGACCCCCTCACTGCAAGTTGTTCTAATCATGCAGCAAGATGCTACTTAGCCCAGCGCTCGCCCCACAAATAGTACTCGAAGATCTTCAGCAGAAATCACTGACCCCAAGCAGCTGCAACCCACAGCGTTCGCCACGGTGAGCCTTCCTTCCCCTCCCAGAGTGTGCCATGCTGTAAGCAGATGCTGCTGTGTTTCAGGCGCATGCTGAGGAATAACACCAAGCCCAAGGAACAGAAGAGCATACTTATCCTGCCTCCCCGGGCGGGCACCCCCAAGCTCTTCAACGCGGCCCTCGCTGCAGCAGGAAAGATGGGCGGCAAGGGGGCGAAGGGCGGCAAGCTGGCCCACCTCCGAGCTCGCCTCAAAGAACTGGCTGCGCTGGAGGCAGCGGCGAGGCAGCAAGAGCTGCTGGAACAGGTAACGCGGACGGGGACCCGGCCACCTGCCGTTTCAGGTACACTGGGGAGAGCCTGGGGGAGCTCCAAGAGGAGGGCTTTAGTTTTAGAGACTTGTGCCCTTCTTCATGTCAGTCTGGACTATTTGGTTGCAAGCGACAGAGTGCAAACTCGAATTAGTTCGAGAAAACCGGAAACAGAGAATTTGGGGCTCAAGTAATTACGAAGTTCAAGCGAGGCTGGAGCTTTAAACCCAAATGAACCAAGGTCTTGTCCCAGCTCTAACATCGCTGTTTGCTTAGGTGATGGGTCCAGCTCCAGAAAGACCCCTAAGAGTTCTAGGGTCACACCCTCCTAGTCCAGCAGCAACAACCAGAAGGAAGCCCCTCTTTCCCAGTGATTCTGGCTAAAGTTCCAGGATGTATTGTCATTGGACAGACTTGGGTCACACGCCAATTCCTGAGCTATTCAACGTGATCAGAGGAATGTGGTGTCTGAGGGCCCTGGGTCACATGTCCACACTGGACTGAGAGTGGGGCAGGAGAGGTGCCCTGCAGGGGAGCCTTGGTACCATTGCAGACGTCAGAGAGTGTGGGCAGGAAATGTCCCTCCTGGGATGACAGAGACATTCTTATATTTGACGTTGATCTGTGACAATATAAAAGACTCTAAAGAGAAGATCCCACAGATAGGCACAGTGCCAACTGACCTCACCCCCATAAATCTAAGAGGAATACTCAGATTAGTTCTGGGACTTTTCCTGTGACTAAAACCAAGATGCTAATTAGAGAGATTATACTAATGTGTCTGTTATGGCTGTCCTTTAGGGAGGCTCCTAGGAAGGAGGGCTGTGGGAGGGGGCCTGGGTTTAGGCAGATGCTCTGTGGCAGACCTCTCTAGGGGAGGGGCAGCAGTCTACAGAGGTCAAAGAAGCCCAGGGAACTCGGCCTCCATCCAGCTGGTGTCAGAGTCCAGGGGACCCGTGCAGAGGTCATCTGGCAGTAGGAGTCTGGTGAGTGACATCAAAGCCACTTCAGGTTCCAAGACATTCTCCAGATATAGCCACCCGTGGCCCCAGACTGTGGAAAGATGTGCTTGCCTGGCTCACAGACTGTCAAGGTCCGGGCCGAGCCAGCAAGCTGGGGTGATTAGTGCTGGTGTGGGCGGGGCTGAGCATGTGAACTCTCAGAGTGCTCTCAGTCCAGTGAAAGGCTTTAATGGACGTGACTTTGCTGCTGCTCGGGGTGAGCTCTTCACCCAGGCGGCTTTGACACGTGAATTAAATTTGCATGAGTGCTCCCATCAAAGGCATTTCTCCTGCAATTTGGAACAACCAGGGCTGAACAGTGGAAGACAGGGAGCTGTAAAGGCAAAGTCCAGAGACACAGATCACATCCCTGCTCTGTCACCTCCAGCCCTGAGATTACTCAGAGCTGCCATGCAGGGAGGTAAGACCAAGTGGGAAGCCCTGAATCCTTTTACAGGAGCATTTGAAGCAGGCACGCCTCTCCTGGTTCCATTCATGGCGCGATGGTCGGGAAGCACCATCGTGGTCATCTGCTGGGCAGCATGCCTGAAAGTGCATTGTCAGGGTTAGGGGGGTGAGGGAGGGGAGCAGGTGCACCAAAACACACAGAAATTCAGAGACAGAGTGAGTGGTGGAGGGTTTGGGGAACTGCCTTGGGCTCTGGGAGCATCCGTTAACCTTCCTTCAACACCCTATGACTTGAGCACATGTCAGGGGCTTCCATTGCTCACGAGTACTCTGACTGCCCTCTTCAAATTCACCACCACCACCTCTAGTGGGTCTTGGACCTTGGGGATTGTTCTGGCCTCTTCCTCTGGGGGCTGCTCCTTCTCTAGAGTCCTTCCATGCAGAGGTGGGAGAAGGCAGGCCCACAGGTATTCTCAAAGGCTTGGATGTTTACCCAGTTTCCTACACAGGCCGGTGTCTATGGGGGTGGCACAGGCTGGAAGCTGGAGCTCTGTACCAAGTCCCTAAACGCAGGGTCGGTTCAGCCTAATGCTGTTCTTACCCAAGGATCTCGACCTATGAGACCTTCCAGAAGGAGCCCTCATCGCCCTCCCCCTTGTTTGTTTGGGGTTTTGCTCATTCCTTCTGGGAGCACCCATCCCTGCTTACCACTGGGGCAGGGCAGGGTGCTTCAGGCTTCGCAGAGGCCTCAGTGGGCTCCCTGGAGGTCCCCCTGACCTGCTCCAATAGCTCAGTACCTGGGCTCTGCCTTGACAGACACCTTCATCCAGGCTCCCAGCCCCGCAACTCAACAGAGATGGAAAATGTCCCAAGATCGTCCGTGAAACTCAACCAGGACCTTTGTTTGTTTATTTTGTTTTTATTTTTTAGTTTTTGTTGCAGAGGAGGAAAGGCAGGATGGGGAGTGAGAAACCACCCCCCATAAGAAGAATGACTGTACCACAATCTCTTTTCTCCATTCTTGGCAGGATGGGGAGTGAGAAACCACCCCCCATTGGAAGAATGACTGTGCCACAGTCTCTTTTCTCCATTCTCCTCTTGGAATTTGGAGAAGCAAGAACACGCCCTGGTGTGATTTTTTCCTCCCTTTCTTTCTTTCTTTCTGGAGAGTTTTTTTTTTTTTTCTTTTTTTTCTTTAAGGTGTGTGCATTCACCTGGAAAGACAGAGAAAGTCAGAGAGACTGAAAATGAGAAATCATCTATCCCCCCAGGAGGGATGGCCATGACCCAATCCCTTCCCCTCCATTCTCCTCTCTAGATCTTGGGCACGCACGCACACACCCTGTGTAAGTTTAAGCCACCGGGTCCAGGACTAGAACCGTGGTCAACTAGGTGGAAGTCCAGTGACATAACCATTACACCATCTGCTGGCCCCACCTGGTGTGATTTTTTTTTTCAAGCTGCAGGGCCCAGGACTCAAACCATGCAGTCTGCCATAGGGGGCCCAGTGCCTTGACCTACACACCACCTGCTGGCCCCAAACAGAACTTTCAACCCTTAAATTTCCTCATAATATATGAGGGGACATCATGTATAGTTTATGGAACGAGGGAATAAAGTAGGAGTTTATTTTAGTCCCCACAGTTTTTGAAATGTAGGCATTTTTCTCACAATACACTTTCCCATGAACTTTTTGAAGACCTGGGTTCTAGCTCTCCTAAATAACCCTGATGCAGCTCTACCCCATCCAGTAGACGCCACCCGAGTTTGTCCCCAAGTCGAAGACAGAGAAACGACCGAGAGATAACCTAGACCCCTTGGAGACCTCTTGGGCGGTCGGGGCCTCACAGATCACCCTCTCGGATTTCCAGGCCAAGAAATCTCAAGACGCCGGGGGAGAAGAAGGCTCAGCTGCCCCAGACCAGTCCGCAGCCCCGGCAGAAGCCACTCCTGACCAGCCCGCACCTCCAAAGTCCGGAGATCCCCCAGAACCGCCGGGACCCCCGGCCCAGCGCTCTGCGTCATCTGTCTCCCCCGGGAGGCCCGAAGCTAGCGGGGAGGAGGCGGCCAAGCTGGAGGAGCACCCGGTGCGGATCCACATGAGCCCGGGTCCAGAGCCCGGCGAGCAGATCCTGTCGGCGGAGTTACCCGAGGAGAAGAAGGAGGAAGCGCCCTGAGCCTGCCCTGCGCGGGCCCAGCAGGCGTGCCCTGGCAGCCGCGTGCCCAAGGCGCCGACAGCCCAGGCGAGGGCGCTGTCCGCGGTAGTGGCCTCCGTTGCTCGCAGCCCCGCCAGGCCAGCATGTTGCCCCGACTTTCCTCAAGTGTTCTTGTCGGTGAACTCACGCTGTCACTTGAGAACCCTACTCCCTTCTAGTTGTATAATTTTTTTGTTTTAAGTCTCTTTTTTAAAAGAATTATTTATTCTATTTTATTTACTATTATAATTTCTTAATTTGCTACAGGGTACATACAGTCAACAGAGAGAGACAGTGGGACTCAAGCTGCAATTGGCCATGTGGGAGTCCAGCACCTCAACCACTAGGCCACCTGGTGGTTCCAAGGGTATGATTTTTAATCACAAAATTAGTTTCTATTTTTTATAAGCAGGAGGTAGAATGGGCCTCCACACCACGGGAAGCCTGTTGAAGGTTACTGAATGTACGAGTTTCCCCAGGAAGTTGTCCCCCATGCTTCAAGGATAGAAAACATTTCAGAAGAAGGAGGGCCTTAAGCCAAGTGGTGCTGGTTGGGATGGTGAGAACTTATCTCCCCCAGACTGTTCTGTCATTATCTCAGGACACCTCAACTAGAAAGGGACCTACCTGCAGGAGGCTGCAGGCTGAGAGGCATCCTCTGCCTGTCACCCTGGAAAGCCATTTGCCAGCAGGGGTCAATTTGTTCCTTGTTTTTGACCCCCCTCGCTGTAGAGATGGGAAGCAAGTTTGATTAATCCAGAAACTGAAACCCACTAGCTGATGACATTACTTACATTCCTGACATTACACACATTCCTATCACGTGGCTGTTACAATTAAAAAAAGAAAAAAGGAGAAAGGGTCATTTAGCCAATGACTACTTATTGAGAAGATTTTATTTACATACCAAATGGCTCTTGGGGGAGCCGGTGACTAAAAACAAACTCTAGCAGTAGGCCGTTTGCTTCCACCGGCAACAATGAACACAAAAGGCCTAGAAATCCATTAGAGACTGCCCGTTTTATATGAAATTACGGGAGACTGAACTCCTGAAGGGGCCTTTGAGGGTTTGCAAATGTATCATCCTTCTACTGCAAACAACGTTCATTTCCACTGTGAAGAAATTCAACCGACAGTCCTCCCTCGGGCTGGTGGAAGCACTTCCAAATCCCAGAGTGAAAGCAGGTTTATCTATTACGTAGGTGACTTATCAAGTGACCTGTGGCATAGCATATGATTAAATCATCATGCTGAATACAATGATGATTGATATTATTATTGTATACTTTTAAAAAGTTTGATTATTTTATTCTAATAGATGCATATTTACATTGATACAAAATGAGGCTTCGTCAAAATTATTTGCCCTACCCCTGGCACCCAACTCGCCTGTCCGCTTCCTGGAAGTAACCACGTGATCAGTTTCTTATATATCCTTTCAGTAGTATGTTATACTTACCCAAGGAAATGTATAAATTCATTTTTTTGGTATAAGTTTTCTTTTTTTTTTTTTTTTGCCTCAGGGGGCATGTGCTTCTCACTAGGGGAGAGAGAGAGAGAGAGACAGAGACAGTGAGAGGGAAAGTGAGAAATCACCCCCCAGGGGAGATGGCCATACTGCAATCCCCTCTCCTCCATTCTCCTTCTGGGATCTTGGGCACACACACACACACTTGCCCGGCATGACTTTCAAGTCACTGAGTTTGGCACTTGAACCGCTGTCAGCCATAGAATCCAGTGACGTAACCGCTATGCCGTCTACTGGTCCCTAAATTCATTCTTATTCCCTTCCTCTTCCTCCTCTTCTTTCTTTTTCTAACATACCAGAGCTGCTGTTATTTTTCATTTATTCAGGAGATTGTTCTCTATCAGTGCATAAAGAAGATGCATGTTTTTTTTCAGGGTGGCAATACAGCCCAGTGTACGAGTGTCCTCCTGGAGATGGGTATTTGTGTTGTTTTCAGACTCCTGCTATTAGAAAGAATACTTCAATTAGAAACAAACAACTTGTACAGACATCATTTCACCGCAAAACACTGTGTTTAAATGGAAGAGGCTGGAAATTTAGGCAGCATTTTTCCTTACCCTCCTCATTAATCATTCCCATATTTGCGCCACATATTCTAAGATCAAGGCATAGAGACTGCGTCGATCTTTAGTAAGTATTTCAGGTATCCTAATAAACATATTGCCTCTCTGTAGGTGGCAAAATGTTTCAATGGCATCTTCACTGTGAGATCCTATTTGTAAGGAGTCCCTTTAATATGCACACACACACACACACACACACACACATATAAATGCACGTATTCTTTTAGATACCAGTCCTTGAATATATACTACTTATTAAGTGAATGAGAGATTCTTCAAGCTCCCAAGAATTGTCCTGGACAGAAAATAGATTTCGAAATGAGATTAGCAGTGTTTTAATCTCACCGAGATAGCGCATTTAACTCAATGCTTTCGCAAAATGTGGATATTGGGTAAATTAAATTTGAGGCTGGCATTATTCTCCAAATTGAATTACACTGGTTGGTTCCTGAGCTACAGCTAAGAACTACTGTAATTCTGCAGGACCTTTATGAATGCTGAATTTCTTCTCATTTAACATGTCTGAACGTTTCCTGCATTTTGGGAGAAAATCAATAGCAAGTTATTTTTTTTTAACTATATAAATATGTTATGTAAATTTAAAACCAAGAAACTGTTTCAAATCTAATTTTCAAAATGTGTCCAGCTACCTGGACTATGGTAACCTGTTTTCTTAAACAGGAGTACTTTATTCATACTCTGTCTCTCCTATTACAATGCATTTAAATTAAAGTATTTAGACAAATGTTCCTGGCTTGTGGATTCATTTCAGAAACTAGCCCTGGGGGACAGATGGTGGTGGAGCAGTAAAATGCATTGCTCTTTGAGGCTGACCCACTTGGGAAAGTTTAGGTTTGTATCCTGAGCCCTCTCTGAGTATACTGGGCATACATGTGCCCAGGATCTGGGGCTAGTGGAACCTGGGGGTGGGCTACATCATTGAGACCCAGTAGGGGATACTATCTCTGTCTTGCTCATAGAAAAAAATAAGTAAACTTAAAAAAAAAAGAAAGAAAAGAAAAGAAAGAAAAGGAATAGAGGGCCAGATGGTGGTGCTGTGGTAATACATTTAGACCCACATGGGAAAAGTCCTGGGTTTGTGTCCCAGGACCTCCCTGAGTGTGGCCAGGTGAGACTGGGGATGGATCATGGCTTTAGGACCCTGCTGGGGGTGCCTCTGTGTCTCTCTGTCTTTATCTCTTTCATGGAAGAAAATAAAAATAAATTTGAAAAGAAACACACACACACACACACACACACACACATATAAATGCACGTATTCTTTTAGATACCAGTCCTTGAATATATACTACTTATTAAGTGAATGAGAGATTCTTCAAGCTCCCAAGAATTGTCCTGGACAGAAAATAGATTTCGAAATGAGATTAGCAGTGTTTTAATCTCACCGAGATAGCGCATTTAACTCAATGCTTTCGCAAAATGTGGATATTGGGTAAATTAAATTTGAGGCTGGCATTATTCTCCAAATTGAATTACACTGGTTGGTTCCTGAGCTACAGCTAAGAACTACTGTAATTCTGCAGGACCTTTATGAATGCTGAATTTCTTCTCATTTAACATGTCTGAACGTTTCCTGCATTTTGGGAGAAAATCAATAGCAAGTTATTTTTTTTTAACTATATAAATATGTTATGTAAATTTAAAACCAAGAAACTGTTTCAAATCTAATTTTCAAAATGTGTCCAGCTACCTGGACTATGGTAACCTGTTTTCTTAAACAGGAGTACTTTATTCATACTCTGTCTCTCCTATTACAATGCATTTAAATTAAAGTATTTAGACAAATGTTCCTGGCTTGTGGATTCATTTCAGAAACTAGCCCTGGGGGACAGATGGTGGTGGAGCAGTAAAATGCATTGCTCTTTGAGGCTGACCCACTTGGGAAAGTTTAGGTTTGTATCCTGAGCCCTCTCTGAGTATACTGGGCATACATGTGCCCAGGATCTGGGGCTAGTGGAACCTGGGGGTGGGCTACATCATTGAGACCCAGTAGGGGATACTATCTCTGTCTTGCTCATAGAAAAAAATAAGTAAACTTAAAAAAAAAAGAAAGAAAAGAAAAGAAAGAAAAGGAATAGAGGGCCAGATGGTGGTGCTGTGGTAATACATTTAGACCCACATGGGAAAAGTCCTGGGTTTGTGTCCCAGGACCTCCCTGAGTGTGGCCAGGTGAGACTGGGGATGGATCATGGCTTTAGGACCCTGCTGGGGGTGCCTCTGTGTCTCTCTGTCTTTATCTCTTTCATGGAAGAAAATAAAAATAAATTTGAAAAGAAAAAGAAACTGACTCCATATGACAGGTACCTTTGTGAGAAAAACGAAGTGAACTTCCTGACTCAGGCTCATGAGCCAAGCTACTGACATCCTTGGGGCTGTAATCCATCCTGCGTTCCTGTTGCTGGAATGATATCCTTCTGAAATCTCCATGCCCCTCAGAGTCTAAGTCCCTCAATCAACCTTTGTGTCCGGTCTCGCCCAGCTGACTGGGTCCAACTTCCTCAACTCCCTTAGATGTGTTTCATGATGAGTACGAGGGGCATGGCTCTGGAGTCAGGCTGTCTGGCTTCCATCCCAGCTCAACTATGTACATAGGTGTCTGTAGACCTCTTGGAGCCCCAGTGACCTCATCTATAAAATGGGTATAATACACTCTACTACCCAGAGCCACTGTAACTATCAAATAACAGACTGGCATTGCCCAATCTGAGTTGTCATGAGAAATAAAGCCAGCTTGTTGGCTTTGCCACAGTAACTCGTGCTGGGCAGACTAAAGCTCAGGTTCAATTCCCAAGTCACCCTAAAAGCCAGGCACAGTGGTGCACATTTGTACTCTGAGCTACTTAGGAGATTGAGGCAGAAGAATTGCAACACAGAGAGACCTAGTCTAAAATACCATATGCACACATGCACACACACACACACACACACACACACACACACTAATCAACTTGCTGTTCTCCTCCCTCTGTGATAGTTGAGTGGATGGGAAGCCCCCTGAGAATTGTATTCTCTGAATTCTGCCCCTGCCTCAGCTTATACATAAGGAAGGGGTTTGAGCACCTCTTTCTTGGATCTTTAAGAGTTTGTACGAAGGCCTGCGTATGTATCTATAGTAACAA